GCAAGTGTCTTGCGTCCAGTATGTGGCCAGGGAGGTCATGGACAGGGAGGGATTTCCATGGACTGTCGTCGGATTGTGACGATACTCTTGACTTGAGTATGTTGGCACGGTCGCGTGGCAGGCCACGTGGCCGCTGGCAGAAACCAGCCACAGAGGCAGCGATGCACCTACCATGTGCAAGGGCTGCAGCAGCTGCGGTTGTCGAGAGCCACAGCGTCACGACGGAGCGCTGTCTTTGACACGTTGGCCACAACGACAGAATTCACCGCTGCTGTCTCCGCTGCTGTCTCCATCGTCATGCAAGTGGACGGCAAGCCTCCCGTGAAGCTGACAAGGGCGTGACAATCACTTCGCTTGATCAATACTGCCACGGAATCAAGGCTGCAGTGGCTGGGTTTGGCACGAGCAAAGCACGCATGATGCCCAGGCTGTCACTAAGCGATACTTGATCAGCCTGCACTACCCAAAATGTGATGCATTTCAAGGAAGACAAGGGGCCGTCCTCAACTACTTCACGCAGTCGTACGACCCAGTCATCACAGCGAATGAGCTGGCGGAGGCTGTCTACAAGACCGGCGAAGGCAAGTGGAGCACCGACGAAGCCACGTTCTTCATCACGTTGCTCTCGATCCCGCCGCTATCTCTGCGCACGGTCGCCGCGGCCTACGTGGCCAAACACAGAGCAAACAACCAACCGGCCATCTTGTACCGCTTGAACGTGCTCTTGGACCCGATCGTCCCTACACCCCGAGAGAATGATGAGTAGTTCGCCAAGTATTGCTTTGGAAGCACACCAATTCAAGATGCGCACCCAAGCGGCGATACATCCAAGCTCGTCAATGGGATTTTCTCGCTGCATTGTATCGGGAAAGAGGGCAATTTTATGTATTGACGGGACCTACCACCTCCGTACCATTGTTTCAGCGCTTTAGCCGACTGGACCAAGTCGTAGCGAGCGTCCAGCACCCGTGTTTGAAGCGGTGTCAGCGTGACTTGTCCGGTGTACAGCACCGCCGCCGAAAATCCCGACAACTCTCATGTCGATGCATGACTTTACTGGGAACTTGTCGATGGGGTCCCAGTTCTTGGCACACATAAGCTGGTCTAGTAGCTGCAATCTTGTTTGCAGCAACTGTTTTCGAAGAGATCGGCATACGCCCATGTTCTTGGCCCACTCGTCGTCGACACGGAGCATGCCCTCATCTGCCGATTAGTTTTCAGAAGGCACCCATATTGTGCATAAACTGACCAGTTCGCCGTTGGCGAGAGCCATTGCGTCCGTATGAAGTTGGTCTGGTAGCGAGATCGTCTCGATCGGTGGAGAGCGATGACCTTGGCGTACATTCGCGCCCCAAACGAGATAGATTGCACTCCATCGCATCCGGGGCATGTGTCTCGAGCCAGTTGTAGGAAATCCTGGCAATTTCTCGCTCGCCCTTGCCGTGGCGAATGTCTCCGCGATGCCACGTGTCCACCCCTTCACCATCCGTTCGTAAACTCGTTCCACGAGCGTTCCAACACTTTATCGTACAAGTCAGCGCGGCCTCTCGTTGTCGTTGGATGTGTCGGCGCGCCAGCCCACGTGACCGTCTGGGCAGCGATGGCTTTCGCTGCGAGGGCGACGACATGGGACGCCGAGTTTGCATTAGAGCGAAGGACGGAATGATGGTCGTGCCAGGCGAGTGATGGTGGTTGACCCGTCGTGGGGTTGTAACCTGCCGACGAAAGCTGGCCTTGGTCACACACCAAGTGGAGCAATGTACACAAAGTCGGCACACCACCATGGCGGCTGCGGCCGCGCTGGCGCTTCGATCCATCCACGGCATTTTTCGTGACTGCCATCGTTCACGATGACCGCGGCGTACGAGTCACGACCACCCCCTTCCCTTGTGGCACAGCAACGAGAATGTGAAGGGGTGGCTGCAGTATCGTCAAGGCGAGTCTGATCAAGCACCTGCCCTTGCAATGCGAACACGTCGGCGTGGAGCTGCTTGCTTGTTCTAACCTTTGCCTGCAGCCTCGCACGTATTAATCAAATCCATCGAGCTCTAGACTTGATGAATCCTTGGCTCCTTCCCTCCAGCATTCCATCCTTTTCACGCGCAGTCCTTACACCAACACCCCACCCCATCACAATCTCGTCATCACGAGGTGGAGCATCGTCTTTGGCACCGTCTGGCTGCTTCTATCCAAGCTCGACATTCCTTCGAACCTTCCTTCAAGACCACATCCATTCTACAAGCGCAGCCAAGCGGTTGAGTCCATGCATCGACTTCTCAGTCGTCGCGATTGGCACCGTCGGGCGTGCGGGATGTGGGTACGAGCACGCTACCGCATTCGACGGTGGACGGTCCGTCTGCAAAAGGAGGAAGGGGCGGCCACGTCGAATAGGTCAAAGGCAACGGTTTGGTTAACTGGCCACAACAAGCAAGGCTCTAGATCGAGTGCTCGAGTACAATGAGCAGGAGCTTTTGGAAATCGCCGCCCGTTTCATCATGGATGCGGTCTCGAAGCGATTTGCCGTACTTGGCCTTGTACGCCGGGGCAACTTCTTTCAAAATCGACTGGTACCGCACGACGGCCGCGCCAAGGCCGTACTCGTCAGTCCCGATGCCCTTCATCGTGCGCTCAAATTGGTCAACGACTGTCTCGATCGGGTTCAAAATGATGTTCACGTGGTACATCAAGGCGCGCTCCGTGTGCCCCGTAAACTCCTTCTCGATGGCGCGGGCGAGGTTGTTCTTGTGCTTGGCCACGTACGCTGCGTCCACCGCACGCAAGAACTCGGGTGGGATCGACACCAACGCGTTGATGAATGCAGTCTCGTCCGTACCCCACTTCCCTTCGCCGGCCTTGTAAATGACTTCAGCCAATTCTTCTGCCTTGTGCTGGTTGTGGACGGCAGGGTCGTACGGTTGAGTGAGCGCGTTCAAGATGGCAAGGTAGTGTTTTTTCAGGTCGCCGCCAACGTCGTCGGCAACAGTCACAACCAAATCCTGGCCATACTTTTTGAAAAATGCCTTCTTCAAGATCGAGATCTCTTGGGATGTTCGACCTCCAAACACGGGGAACAACAAGTCTTCGTTCGTTCCCGCGCCCTTGGTGGCGTCACGGATGATGGTTGCTTCAGCGTCCGCCAAAGGCTGCGCCAACAGCAACAGCAATCGGCGATAGTCCCCCGACGTCTCGCTCGCGAGTTCGTCGACGAGCGACTTGCCATGGATTTGCGGGTAACGCACGCTGACGAGGTACCGCTCTGCCAACGTTCGCGCACCCAACGCGCGATTCAAGCGTCCTTCGTCCGTTCCAAACCCGGCAACCGCAGCCTTGATCTCGTGGCAGATATTATCAATCTCTGGGGTCGCGGCGTTAATGGCCACGCCTCGGTCGGCGTCACGGGCATGCTGCGAGTACACTTGCATTCCACCGGGAGAATTTGGAAATGCGCCGTACGTTCCGGAGGGGAAGAAGATCGCCTTTCACCTACGACGAAACACAAAAGGATACCATGCAATTTTAAAATACATCCAATACAACAATAAAGAGAGATAAAAATATTTGTAATTAAAATGGAATGGTCGTGACCCTCAACATCCTCCACGATTGCAGAGTTGTCTAGACGACGTTTGTGGGCTACCACTCGTTGAACTTGGTTGCCACGGCAATGCGCGTCCTTGGGTTCTCCTAATGAACTTTTCCATGGCTCGGAAACGTACCGTTGCCCCTCTTTGTCGACCAGTCCCAACCTCGCTGCAATGGGCATCTCATCGTGACTGTGTTCTCTGCAATCATGTACTCGGAACAGAATACATGCTTCTACGTTTAGTAGTCCTTTATCCTACTAGTAGTAGAGATGCAAAGGAATTAGTATGCCAATTCATGGAATCCTATATATTTTGATTGCCACATGTATGCACTTACACAGGTAACTCTTTTGTACGATTTACGTATCTTTGATCAACTTCGCGATTTCTACCATTGCAAGGTCGTCACGTCGAGCGAAGATATGATTATACAGATTTCCCCCGCATTAGGAGACAGTTGCACGAAATTATTTTTCAGGGGAATTTTGTCACGACGAGTATTTAGTTACGAGGTGGCGTGTTGATACCTGACA